TCATGGAGTAGTCCCCGATGAGATATACATGAAGCAGCCACCTGGCTATATTGATCAGAAGTACCCACGTCATGTGTGCAAATTGAGGAAGTCCTTATATGGACTCAAACAGGCTCCCCGGGCCTGGTACGAGCGACTCTCAGGTTTTTTACAGGACTATGGTTTTGGCAAAAATGAGCATGACACCAGTTTCTTCGTCAAACACTCCACTCATGCTGTCCTTATTGTTCTGCTATATGTGGATGATATTATTGTCACTGGTAGTGATCCCTCCCTTATCACTGCATTTATTCACTCCATGCAGCGCGAGTTTCAGATGAAGGATCTTGGCCCTCTTCACTATTTTTTGGGTCTTGAGGTCAAACGTACGAATGATTATCTTGTTGTTTCTCAAGAAAAATATGCCCGGGATTTACTTCAGAAAGCTGGTGTGGAGGAGTGCAAGCCATCGCCATCCCCTATTCCCGTACGGTCGTCCGAGGAAGGGGCGGACCGTCCCTTCGCAAATCCTACCTTCTTCCGCAGCTTGGTTGGTTCTCTTCAATATTTGACTAATACCAGGCCAGACATTCAGTTTGCGGTAAATCATGTCTGTCAGCGTATGCATGCTCCTACAGAACGGGATTTCCAGTCATTGACCCGTATCCTACGCTATGTCAAAGGCACAATTGATCGGGGATTAATCTTTCGGAAGGGATCGCAGATGCTGCAAGCCTATTCTGATTCTGATTGGGCAAATGATATGACGGATGGCCGCTCTATTACAGGTTACTTGGTTTATTTTGGTTCGAATCTCATCTCCTGGAGCACAGAGAAACAAAGTCGTGTATCCCGATCGTCAACCGAGGCCGAGTACCGGGCTCTCTCGGCTGCTGCTGCTGAGGTGATGTGGCTCTCCTATCTCTTTGACATTCTGAAGCTCAAGCTCCCTCCACCACATCTCTATTGTGACAATCAGTCTGCTATCTGTTTAACCAAGAATCCAGTTTTTCACAAACGCATGAAGCATGTGGGTACCGATTGCCATTTTGTGCGGGAACAGGTCATTGCAGAACAAATGACTGTGTCGCATGTTCCGTCTGCAGAGCAGCTGGCCGACCTCCTCACAAAAGCCTTACCGACCCCACGCTATACTCTTTTGGTTTCCAAGCTTCCACTCGTTTCACGGTGTTCAGCTTGAGGGGGGATGTTAGACACTATAGATGTATTCCTAGTTATAGTAGAATTGTATTATAGTTAGTTACCATATTAGAAGAATCCTAATCCTAATATGGTTAGGATCTCTAGCTATATATACTCACATGTATTCACCTCTATTGCTTAAGTAAAATCCATTAATTCATATTAATTCAACACAATTCTTCAACATTTCAATACTCTTTCATTGCATAAGCATTCCTATCTTTTCTTAGCTATTTGAGAGCCAATTCTTGAAGAAATTGTCGTGTTCTTGAGCGTTTACTAGTTCACTCATATCTACTCTTTGTGAGAGTTTTTATTCCTGAGTGTTTAAGTGTTTTCATACACTTTAAGGGAGGTTGTTCCCTTGTTGTGAACTCGAAGGAAGTTCTTTGTTCCTTCGTGAGAAGTCTTGGAGTGCGGTATCTCCGAGCAAAGGCGTTGAGGCTCGTGTGACTCGAGTTCTCAAGTTGTATCGGTTTGTTGAGCACCTTTAAGCTTAACGGAGTTAGTGTAACTCGAGAGAGTCTCTCGAAAGGCTGAATTAGCCACACGTTGTGGTGAACCAGGATAAAATTCGGTGTGCTCTTTCCTTATGCTCTTTACTTTATCACTCTCATTTTTAATTTCCTACGATTTTGTTTTAAACGCTATTCACACCCCTCTAGCGTTGGGCCTTTATTCTAACAAGATTGGTCCCTAAGAAAAGCCAGAAAAGGCACTTGATATTGAAGGAAGATGACCTGTGCACGGAGATCACGACCAGATCTAAGACATCATCGGAGATTATAGAAAGAATCCAGTCTTGCAAGAGAGCATAAAATTGGACCCATTCGACGTTGTTGGTGTTGGACGATGTGGATTCGCTGGTGACATATCCATGGAGATTGAATATATGTACAAGGAGAAAAAACCACCTACTCCACTTTTTGTAATTCGGTTTAAAGATTGTTCATAGCTCAGATACCATGAAGAATGGAATAAATCATATTACTTGAATTGTGAATATAAAGGGTGTGTATATACTATTCCTATACATGGTAGGATTGCATAATTGCAAGGAATATAATAAAAGAAACATATACACAAGGAAACAATATTAAGTCAATATATTTACTATATTTAACACTAAGGTGTAGAGGAGGCTTCAAGTGCTTACAAAGTCTATAAAGGGAGGTAAAGAGAGAGAAGGCGCGATCGGTATATATACTTTATTTTAGTTGCACGTCCGTCAAATACCTATTTGCAAATAAAATAACTCATTTAATTTTTAACACTTATTTTGTTATTTATTCAAAATAATCGGATTATAAAATGTATGTTTATATATTAAAAAACTACGTACATATATAACTATACAAAAATCTATATTTACAAGTAACATAATACTCATTTCATAATAGTAATGACAATCCATATTGATATCTTCATCCTCTCACATTCGGAAGGACGTTGCACTTCTTCATCACAACTCCGTCTTCATCCTCATCAAAGGGATGGCCTACCCGACATAGCTTCTTTATTGAGCTTTTCTAGTCCCACGATTCTGTTCTTCATCTCCATCGGAAAGGAATTCAAGCTTCATTTTTTTTTCTCATCGTGTCGCTTCTCTTCCTCTTCCTCTGTAATCGTAGTTAGAGTCTTCTCACCATTAGATGAAGAACAATGCGGTCAACTCCGGCGAAATTGACGGCGGGCACCAACGCCAATGCGGTCGTGGCATCCGGGCGACCTCCAAGGACCCCTCAATTGCAAGATTTGATGAAGATTTGCAAAACCCCCAATTTTGGATCCAATTTCGAATTTTAGGGTTTTTTCGAGTAGAAAAATTCCGATTCGAGAAGTTACAGGCCAAATTAGACAAAATGGTTTGGATATTATTGATCCTCGTCTCAAGACGAAGAGAATGACATTGGTCCCGCCGGAATCGGAAAAAGTTCATTTTCCAGCGACTTTGACCGGCGGGCGGCGGCGGCGGGGCGTGGAAGAAAAGAAAAGAAGAAATGGGGTCAAATTGAAAATTTTAAAATATATAAAATTCGAATTTGGCCTTAATGACCGGAAGTTAACCTAGAAACGGGCTAATGGCTCATTAGTGAAAGGATTGTGTAAGTTCAGGGATTTTTGTGAAAGGATTTGAAGTTGAGGTACCACTTCGAAATTCCAGCTAAAATTCAGGTACCATTTGTGAAATTTACCCTTGTAAAATTACACTTTTAGTCCTTAACTTAGAACCCACATGACAGAAGGTAAAAAAAATACGAAGTAGTATTCTTGGAAAGGTATCCATAAAAGAAGTACAACATGCGTAATATTTGATAATATAAGACTAAATATGGAACTCTTTTGTTTATAAAGCATCAAATATGCAATTTACTCATTTTTATTTTAAATTTAAATAAATATTAAAAGAAAAAAATAAAGTAGGAGTATAATAGTGAAAATATATCAAAATAAAAGTTCCATGTTTTTATTGCAGAAATATGAGTTAAAATGAATTTACAGTGCTAGTCATGACCATATACTATACATTACCAATGAATATTGTGAAATGTTCATATACATTGTGACATTACAATAATGTGAATCTATTTTGATGATAAAAACATAGAACTCCTATTTTAGTACTTTCTTTATGTTTTACTCCTATCTAAAATAATTTATTTTTTAAAATCTAATAGAAAAACACTAAAGTAGAAGTAAAATATTGAAAATATATTAAAATAGAGGTTAAAATAAATTTACATTATCAATCATGATCATGTACATTACCAAAAAGTATAGTAAAATGTTCAGGACAGCGTCACATTACCACAATATGAACTCTTATTTAAAGAATAAAAACATGAAACTTCTATTTGGTGCTTTCTTTATGTTTTACTCTTATTTAGACTGATTTTTTTTAAATCTAATGATAGTATGATTTGTTTGGAAACGATATTTTTTTATTAGTATTAGCGTGTTTGATAAAATTTCTAACGCTAAAAATTACTATGAGTTAGTCTTAACGCTCATGGCAAACCATTAGTCATTTCTCAAATGGAATAGGGCCTACGAAGTAAAGTCAAACCCCGAAATGGCATAGGCCGGAGTGAATTTGCTAGTAATTCACAATTTGTCAATTTCCCCTGCGTGCTCCGGATCCGCGACGAGGAGAAACTTGCCACTCTTTTATGCCAAAGCTTCCCTTCAGAGAAAGAGAGTGGAGCGTTACTAATCCAAGTGTAGAGATCGGACGGAAAAGCGAGAGGGAGCTGACCCATTGCGAGGAAGAAGATGGGTTGCTCGTTCTCGGGGCTTAACGCTCTGTACGACGCCGTCAACGGCGGCGGCGACGTCTGGATCAACGAGAATCGCTTCCGGATCCTCCGCCAGCTCGGAGAGGGTGGCTTTGCCTACGTCTACCTCGTCAAGGAGATCCTCTCCGACCCCGCCAATCCCGGCTTTTCCCTTAAAATCAAGGACCCTTCTCACGCCTCCGGTACGCGCGCTCTCTTCTAGCGTTTCTTTTGGTTCATCTGCTTCTCCCGGAGTTCATAGATGAATCGATGCTTAATTTAATTGGTTGGATTTCATTTCTTTTTTATTTTTCCCTTGTGATCCGTGAGATGGGCTTCCATCTGATAGTAATAATGATAATGAGTTAGATTGGGTGGAACACCCTAAGCTTACATATGAGCAATGTCAGAAGATTGGGCCAATTGAATAATGGTGTTGCACTTCCCCTTTTTGGTGGCTTGAACAATGTTTAAGTTTTGGGTATATACAGCAACAGTAACAACAAACCCACTAAAATCCCACGCAAAGTAGGGTCCGGGGAGTGTTTGTGTTCGGCTGTTCGCAGACCTTACTCCTATTACGAGACCTTACTCCTATAACGAAGTAGAGAGGACAATCCCAAGAGGGTCCTGACTCAAATACAAGAGTACGAACAAAGAGGCCACTGAAGCATGAATTAAGTATGAACAAGGACAAACAAAGCAAATAAATGGAATCTAAGAACTAGACATATAGAACACACAACATACTAAGGAGAAAAAAAGCATAAACTACGAATTAAGGCCAACAGGCCAACTACTCTAATTCTACATTTGCAGGCGTTCCTATCTAAGGTCATATCTTTGGTAATATCTTTAAGTCGTAGGTTTCTGTTTAGCCACCCAGTTCTAACTCTTTCTATGTTCACTAATACGCCTCATGATACCATCTATAGCAAGTCTCTCACATCTCCCCATACACTTCCTCAAAGTGGCCTTTGCAACCATCTCAATCTAGCTCATAGCTACCACTTCCACCCTACCCCGAATAACATTGTTTCGGATCTTATCACCTGGGGCGGAGGGAAGAGGGGCATGCTAGGGCACGTGCCCCCCCGGCGACAAACCGGCGACGAGCAATAAGTACCAGTGACTACGATTACCTGTTAGACAGATCGCATCAAAGCAAAACAGACAAATATTTTATTGTTGTGAACTTGTACTGGATTCTTTGTGCTATCTAAATATAAAATAGAGAACAAACCAACACGATTTTTCTAACCAACACAACTATTAGAAACCAACACACCTATTAACATTAGAAACTACCCAACTGTTTTTTTTTAAATTAATTAAATATGAAAGACACACTAAACAACTTCATACTAACCGACTCGAACATTGACCAATTACCCATTCGGTTATATGTGAAGAAACCCGATTAAACCTAACAATCACGCCCCTAATCGTTGTTTGTTCACACCAATCTTCTCTGCAACGCTGGTTCATCATCATTTTGAATCAAATTTGAAATGTCTTCCTTTTGATCCCATTTTAGACATTCGTTCACAAAATGCCCAAGCTCATTGCACTTGAAATACCTAATGTGACTCATATCCCATTGAAACTGTCCACCATCCTGACTTTTCCCGGACCCCCGACCTCTACCTCGGCCATGTCCAAAGTCTTCTTGGTTTGAGCTCCCTCAACCACAATGCTCAGTTTTGTGCTCCTTAACCTTCTCTTTTCCATCACTTTTAGTGAATAGTAGTTTACCTCGCATATCTCCTTCCTCGAGTTAAGGTTGTGAAACTGTAAACTATTTTCCCTTGTAGTCACAATCTGTCTATTTTTTGTTTGCTCCCATTGCACGAATTTTATTCCTTCGATAGTTTTCACAAAATTCTAAACTTCAATTCCTTCCCGGGTCCTAAGCCACGTGCAATCGACCATCATCCCGAAAACAAGCCCCTACTTTTCTGTCTTCCAAGCCGCGAAACGAAAGATACCCTGCTGATTTGTTTTCCCCGCTTTTTTTGGTTTTCTACCCAAGAAAAAACTAGCCACTTGTTGTTCTTGTTCTAGGCAAGGAAGAATGTGGTCAAAGATTCTTGATCCGTTGTCGAGGAAGTCTTTAACGCTTTGTTTTATGATCTGGCAGCCCTTCTGCTCCGATCACAAGACAAACCGCTCCCTCTGATCGTTGGGTCCTGATTGGATTGTCGCTCTGATACCAATTGTTAGACAGATCGGATCAAAGCAAAACGGACAAATATCTTTTTGTTGTGAACTTGTACTATATTCTTTGTTTCTCTAAATATTAATTGAGTACAACCCAACACGACTTTTACTGACCCCCAAGGGCGGAGGGGGGGGGGGGAATGCCAGGGCACGTGCCCCCCCGGCGACAAATTGGCAAAGAACGATAGGTACACGATTGCCTTCTCCGGAAATGGTGCCCCCTCCCCCTGCGGCGCTGCAACATCTTATAAACCTATTAGCAGCATTAAGTTCTTTTCAATTTTGTTTATTTATTTAAGCCGTGTAGTAGTAGTCTTCAAAATAAGGATGTAGGTTATTTTTATTAAGCAAAACGTCATAGTTTTGCTCTTCTTTTCAATTAAGATTTTTTTCTTCAAATTACTTTATAAAAGATTTGAAAAAAAAATATTTTTTCATTCCCTCCGTGGCTCCTTCCCAATTTAAATTGCCAATTTATTAATCATATGGTCACCTTCTTTACTAGTTTTATTACTTATTTTAACAAATAATATGGTCATGTCATCTCTTGTAAAACTTTTGATTTAAGTTTTTATTTGAAGTAACTTTGAAGTAAAATTTTTAATATAATTTTTAAATATGTAAATTTTATTTTTAAATTGTACCCCAACTTTTATATACATTTGTTTGTGAATAACTTCAATCAAACATCGTAAGCAACAACAAACAACTTAAAAATGGGACATAGGGAGTATTAATTAGTAATATTTTCATTTTTTTTTATATTTTGAACTTTTTGAATGTTCATTTGGGGGTAAGCTTTGTTAATTTTTTATCATTTCATATTGCGTTTAAAAAAAACTGGGGTCAGTTCCCCCAGACCCCCCCGTTGTGTGCTCTACCGATAGCGAGCTTCTGGCTCCGCCACTGCTTATCCCTTCCAACCCTGCTTGAGTATATTATAAACTATATTTAATGGCACATCAAACTTTCTTGGTGTCTTACTTTTTAGAAAATTTTGGACTGTAATTGCATCAAGGGTGTCATAGAAAGAACCTCTCTAATGTTAAGGGAATGTGCATCTTGATCCCCATATTGCAACAAAGTTTGGATTATATCGGGTTTTGTTGTTGATCTTGTTGTTATTTTTGTTGTTATTGCTGCTTCTCAGATGGAAATGATGAAATTGGAAAATTCGTCCTGAAACTTGGTACAGTCCCAAGCGTAGATTGATAAGTTTGTCTTAGTAAAAAGTATTGAATCTTGGTCTATAGAAATGGCTGCAATATTTTATGGTCTTTCTTCTTGTACTAACTCTGCCTCTTTAGTATCCAATCTAAACATTGATTTGTTTGCTTTCGTTGATGTTTTTTGCTACTATTGAATGTAACAACAATTTTATGGGCTAAATTTCATTTTTCTTGGGGATTTTATCGAGTAGATAATGGTACTTATGCACTGAAGAAGGTTCTCATTCAGAATAGTGAGCAATTGGATTTGGTGAAGGAAGAGATCCGTGTTTCGTCGCTGTTTAGTCATCCCAATCTGCTTCCTCTTCTTGATCATGCTATCATAGCTGTCAAGGTTAACTCTTTATGGAGCTTCATTTTATTCGATACCAATATATGAACACAATTTTTAGGAAGTATGGCAGTGACCATTCCTATCTTTTTTACAATTTATTTTCCATTCTCATTCATCTTTATTGAAATACTAATGTTACACTAGGCATCTGAAGGCCAATCTTGGAAGCATGAAGCATACTTATTATTTCCTGTCCATTTGGATGGAACCTTGCTGGACAATGCCACATCTATGAAAGCAAAGAAGGAGTCTTTTTCCACATCCGATGTTCTTCAAATATTTCGCCAGGTCCACAAACTGTTAACCTGGATTTGATGATGATCATGTTATTACATAAAAGTCCTGCCGTCCTATGTGGAGATTTATTTATTTTTTCCCCCAAAACACAATTGTATTGGAATAAAAAAATAAATTTTCATTATGTCTAGTGTTTTTTCATATAAAAAAGTATTTAAAGAAGTCAAATAATTTAGATTTAGGTCAACTGAAAAATAAATTTAAATTTAAATTTAAAAATATAGCTAAATTTGATGGTTCCCAATTAATTTCCCTTGCTAGAATTCAAGTTGCACATTGATGAAAGGTGATTCTTTTTATGGGATGGAAGGAGTATTAACTAGGGGAAATTTCATTTTTTGTTCCTCATTTATTGCGTAGGTTTTGTTAGTCCCTAAGTAATCCACTAATCCAAGGTTCGGAATTCCCTTTTTAATTGTGATTTAAGTCGCTACACCAATTCTTCCTGGCTTCCTTGAGTTATTAATGGTTTGAAGTCCACACGAGCTTTGAACATGAATCCCTGGTCACAACTTTGGTGGAGATTTTAGATCTCGAATAATTCCATGGCTGAAATTTAGATCTCAAATATTTTAAGGACTGAGTTTAAGATCAACACAATAGCTGAGGGACCAAAATCATTATTTCTCACCATTAATTACATTTGTTATGAAGTGATTATTTATTATTACAAAATCTGGGGGAATTAAGCCTGTATATTGTCTTATCTGCCTCATGAAAGAAATAGTTTGCATGCAGCTTTGTGCAGGACTCAAGCATATGCATAATTTTGAACCATCATATGCCCATAATGATGTAAAACCTGGCAATGTCCTTTTGACACATAGAAAAGGGCAGCCACCGCTTGCAATATTGATGGATTTTGGAAGTGCTCGTCCTGCAAGGAAGCAAATAAGGTCTCGTTCAGAGGCTTTACAGCTGCAGGTACATCTATTTTTTCCCAAGCCTGCATACTTCGCAATTCTATATCTACTGACTATAGAGTTGGTGCTTGAATGCAACCACAATAACAAAACCAGTATAATCCCATCTCCTTTCGGGTCTAGGGAGTCAAGATTATGGAATCTTACCCATGTATTTAATGCAAAGGTTGTTTCCATTAGACCCTTTGATGCATTCACTAGAATCACTACCCAAAACTTCATCAAAAGAAGCAAGAGAAGTTTAGTTTGCCATTATAATCTAGTCTATTATTTATTCAAAGCATTGCAAGAGACTTTTTTTAGCTCCATTAGCAATGGAGTAAGAGTTGATGCCGGAATATAGAGCATTATTTTCAAGGTTTTTCATTGTCATCACGTCATTCCATTGGTCAGTCTGGCATCTTTGATTTGCTGGACCTCTTAACTCGTTTTGCGGGCATTGGTTTTTTATAGGAATGGGCATCCGAACATGTCTCGGCACCTTTCCGAGCTCCTGAACTATGGGATTGCCCAAGCCATGCTGATATTGATGAAAGAACTGATATATGGTCATTGGGTTGTACCCTATATGCAATAATGTAAGCTTTGCTGCCTCTGTATTTGGCTTCTTAATTATGGTTTCTATCATTTGTGAATGGCATATTTCGTTGCCTAAGAGTTTTACAAAGTGTATAGTTTTATACTCCAGCCCCCCACCCCTCCCCGCCCCACAAAAATAGTCTTATTGCACAAAGGAACAAACTTAAGTTTGTGTTAGGCACAAGTCTCAGAAGACAGAAATAATCAAATATGCCTATATTTTTAGATCTATGGTTTAACTAAATTAACATACCTAACTATTTGGGAATGCTCTTTTATATATCAAAGTATTGAATATGATTAATATTGGAACAGCTTCCTTTGTTCAAATATGACTCTTTTTATGCTGCAAAAATAAGTGTTTAAACATAACTCTTTTTTTTCGTTTTGTGATGGACGGAATATTACTTTCTCATATTCTGGTTATTTTGCAATAAGCTACAACATTGAGTTGATCATTTGATCTTTTTCGTTGGGCATATTTTAAACTTGACTCACATGCAATGCTTATACTTCAACTCCTTTTATTCATATGTGGTTTTTCATGTCAAATGATTATCTGTGGTCTGGTTCAGAAACCTATCCATTTAACATACTCCTTCTGTCCTGCAATAAGATTTCACAATTGGCTCAACAAGGTTAATAAGAAAAAGTAAAACTGTGCGGTTGACATTTATACTGAACAGAAAAAAACAATGCAGTTCCATCCTTAACAATATGTTTGATTCAAGAATTTTGGAAGGAAAATAAAAGAAAATTGCTTTCTCTCATTTTCCTCACCAAATTTGGTTTCCCTCCTCTTGGTATATTTTGCCTTTTCATTGTCTTTTCTTTCCACTTTTCCTTTCTAACCAAACAAGAAAAATTGTTTTCTATCTCATTCTCTTTCCATTTTCAAAATCCTTGAACCAAACCAGTGTTATAGGGAAGTGGAGACTTATTTTGGACTTATCAATAGGAAATGTGGAACCTTTTTACACGACAGATGGAGTATTAGAACCAACAAATTAATGAGTTGTAACTTCACTTTGTGGTTCATATATCTCTGTGTGTGTGTGTGTGTGTGTACTATACAGGTATGGAGTGTCTCCTTTTGAGTATGCACTTGGGGAATCTGGAGGAAGTCTACAGTTGGCCATTGTTAATGTTCAGGTGAAGTGGCCCAACGGGCCTTCGGATCCTAAATATCCCGACGCCCTTCACCAGTTTGTGAAATGGATGCTTCAGCCTCAAGCAACTGTTCGTCCCCGAATCGATGACATCATCATTCACGTCGATAAGCTGGTCTCCAAGTTCTCTTGAGAGAGATGGTGGAGGTGTGGGGAGGAGGACCTAAAGAAGACTGCCCATAGTCTGGAATGGTTCACAGCTTATGTTCCAAAGAAAAAAAAAAGAGAATAAATTTTAAAAATTAAAATAATTATGAAGAGGCATAGATTTTCAGTTATTAGGGACACATCATACTGGAATGAGGTTTTCACTTTTTTTTTTAATTTGTTTTTGTTTTGAGTTATTGAATGGTCATTTTCTAATATTTATTCTGCCATGTAAACCGTGTATATGTGGATGCTTGTACTAAGACTCTGGCTTGGCTTTTCTTGTATTTGCAGTTACAATACAAGAAATGTTAGTCTCAAAACAGAAATACTCTATCAAAAACTTCACAAACTTCTTGTTTGTGAGCTTCATTAAAAAAATGGTACTCTCTTCATCCACTATAGATTTTTCCAAGTTGATTTTTTGAGGACTTTAAGGAGAGTTCAAAAAAGATGTAAGTTTATTAATATATCTTTAATTAAGATAACTAGTTTCACTATAATATTTTTTTTTGGGCACGGTTACGTTGACATTGGCCAACGGTGCCACTTTGTTTTTGGAGTACCTCCGGTGCTCCGTTCGCATAATATCCACACATTTAGAAGGGGCATAGGGTGGGGCTGGGTGGGGGTTTAGGGAGTGGATGAGAGAGTTGGAACCATCAATTTTACAAACGGAGCACCGAAGGCTATCCAAACATGCAGTGACATCGCTAATGGTACATTTGGCCAGTGTCAACAGAGCCGTGCCTTATTCTTTTGTATTAGGTCATGTTTGTTAGTCTTAAACATCATTTATAAAGATATATGGCTTTATCGAATTATTAATATTTATTCACTTTTGACGCTAAAGTTATTTTTAATGTTTTTAGGTAAGTGGGAAAAGGGCAATGAGGGTATTCCATTTTTGTGATGGGGCATAACTGATATTTTTAAAAAAAAAAAAGGGGTACTAAATACGGAGTATTAGGGGATTACTAGTTAGAATTTATTGGGGGCAAGTGCTCACATTCCTCTCCAAATAACAAGTTTGTGTTTTAAAATGAATTACAAGCTTACCAAATTAATTATTGAAATTATAATTACACATTTTCAATTAGAATTTCACATGAAATTATTTATCAACTTAATTCAATGATTTTAAAATTAATGACACGCTAAAAAGTGAAAACTTGATAAATTCAATCTTTCATGTTTTCCTAAAAGCAAGAATTTGAAACTGAGATAGAGGGAATACCAAATTACTCTTAAGACTTTCAAATGATATAAGTTATTGTTTAGTTTAATATATTGTAAAAGATGTGTTAAGTTCAATTTCTAATGATTCTATATTAAAATGGATGTGTTTAATTTAATTTCAAATAATTTTATTATGTATCATTTGAAAATATGAAGACTTGTAGAGGACAATTGGACAAATATAACTTGATATCTTTCATTAAAATATATGTGTATATGTATTTTAATTTTATGTGTAATGCAATTTCTAAATATATGTACCACTATACTAGCTAGTAAAAAGAAGTCAAGATCCACCACTTCATACCATTACGCCAATCATTCATATGACCATCTCTTTTAAAAAATGAGCAAACTAGTTGTGTCACGTTTACATTGATCCATTTTGGTCAAGCAGTCATGCCTGCTTTAGACTTTCACAAGAACCTTTGTGTTCCTCTCATATAATGAGAGAAGACTTAAAACTTCTTGTTCAATTAGCTCAAGGACAATGAGTTGGTTGCTGGTCAGGTAACAATGAGAGCATTTGCAACGGAGGTCAAAAGTCGCCGCGCCAAAAGGAAAGAAGAGCCACGCCATGGCCTGTTGCAATAATTATTACTCCGTATTATTATTATTATTATTATTATTATTATTATTATTAATTCTATTACTAATATTATTACTATTAGTATTATTACTATTATTACAACTATTATTATTAATACTATTACTATTATAGTTATTATTAGTATTATTATTATTACTATTATTATTATAATTATTACTCCGTATTATTATTATTATTATTATTATTATTAATTCTATTACTAATATTATTACTATTAGTATTATTACTATTATTAAAACTATTATTATTAATACTATTACTATTATAGTTATTATTAGTATTATTATTATGACTATACTTATTATTACTATTGTTGTTATAATCATTACTATTATTATTATCATTGTTACTAATATTACTATTACTATTACTACTATTATTATTTCTATTACTATTATTATTAATAATAATATTTCTATTATTATTATTATTATTATTTCCATTATTATTGTTATTACTATAATTATTAGTATTATTATAGTTATTGCTATTATTATTACTATTATTATTATTATTTCTATTATTATTACTATTATTATTAGTATTATTATTATAGCTATTCTTATTACTATTATTATTTTTATTATTACTACTATTAGTATTATTATTAGACCTATTATTTTTATTATTATTACTACTACTATAATTATTAATATTTCTATAATTATTTCTATTATTACAACTATTATTATAACTATTATAATAAAAATTTTAATTTTAGTCAAATTCATATAAGATCAGATCCAATCATATCAGATCAGATTAGATCCAATGTTTATTTGGTTACTCGTTTTGATTGACTATTTGATAAAATAAAATCTTCTTGTCACATCTTGTTTTGTAGAACTTTATTTACTTTTGAACGATGCAATTTTTACTTTTTATATTTGTACCAATTTATAAATAAAATGATTTTAAAAGACGTGATATTTTACCCACTTTTTGGAATGTTACTTAGAATTGGAGACGAGGCATTATATTGCAATAGAGTAAGTAATTTTCAAAATAAATCTTTTAATGCAAATATTAATAAGATACGAACTCTAATATTTATATTTTAATTCGTTATATATATATATATATATATATATATATATATATGTATGTATGTATGTATGTATGTATGTATGTATGTATGTATGTGTATGTATGTATGTATGTATGTATATATATATATATATATATATATATATATATATATATATATCGGTGGAGTTCTAGTGACACTGGAAAACAGTGCCACTAGCGGTGCCACTGGGTTTTTGGGGCACCTCCGGTGCTCCGTTGGTAAAATTGACGGTTTCTACCCCCCTAACCCACCCCCTAAACCC